AGCCTTGAAAGCCCTGCAGAGCAGTTCTACTCTGCATAGGCAGGGTTGCCATAAATCGGAAGCAATTCAATGGTAATTGACAACAGCAATATACACTTACTGTCAACCCTTTTGTCTATCAGTTGCAAATAATTTTCTCTCTGTCATGTCACTTAATTTCCCCTTGCGGAACAGAACTTTCAGGCTTTTATGTGTTAGATCTGTTAATCTTTTATTCAATGGCTGCTGGCTATAATCGTGCATAAGAGGAATTTCTGCACTCGGGACTGTTCTTCCAGCAGAATCAGCAATAGATAGGGGACAGGAACATACTGTCAAGGGTGGATTGTGTTTAAGATGGAGATGACTTGAACATGTTTGTAGGAAGAGAGGGAAGGAGACAATTCTGGAGGTTGTTAGAAGGGAGTCCACTCGTTTCTCACGAAGAATATAATTTTTTAGCACAATCCCTGGGCTAGGTGCTACTGATACAAAGATGATTGTGACTACACAGATGAAGGGCTTAGGTGTGGTGGGTGGGGGAAGACGCCTCCTCTGAGGCAGGAAGGAGGTGGAGTGAATTCTGTTGTTCTGTAGTAGGTAAGTCTAGAGGAGAGGGCAGGGGGATTGATCGAGGTGGGGCTTCTTTTTCCTCAGTCGATAACATAAGGGAGCTTGTTTGAACATCCCACATAGAGAATGGTTAAAAAAATACACCACCCAAGAAAAAGTGGAAGGATGTCCCACTGGTGCTTCAGCATCGTTGGAATCCATAAATCTTTCAATCCTCTTTTCGGTTAAGCTGCATTTCTTTCCAGTTCTTAGCTTCCTTGGGCCAGAAGAGGAGAAGACAGCAGTTGGGCTTGCTCAGGTTCAGGCACTGGCTGGGCGTGTCCCAGGAAGGACCAGAAATAAGGCAGCTGTGACATGGACGTGGTCGGCCACAGGATCCCAGCTGGGTGGAGGAGAAACGGATCTTGGACTACGTCAGAAAGTGGCACAGCCCAGGGAAAAGAGGTTCTGCTGCGCTCAAATAGGTGAAATAAGGAAGAGCGGTCGAGGTCCAGGGTGTGGCCGTGGGGACAGCGATGACCTGGAGCACAGAGGACGTCATTGTGTGAGAGGAGGGGGAGGAACTGCAAGTCCAGGTGTTAATGGCCAGTCATGTCAAGTCCAGGTTTTCCAAGGTGATGATTAGAATTTCATGGAGAGGAAGGAAGGCAGTGAAAAAGGAGCTGGAAATCAGTCTGAATGTGAGGGAAGGACCTGGAGGTTGGAGAAGGTCAATTAGCTGGATGCTTGGAGGCAGAGCATATCAGCTTTGTGTTCTTAGTTCCTCGTGTTGCCTTACATGTAGCAGGAGCTCAAGAAAATATGTATTAAATGAGTGAAGAAACAATCTGTCCAGAATGTCTGGGTACCTTGTGCGGTGTTGTAGATGTGGGACAGAGAAGGACAGGACAAAGCTTAATTTATCTGTTGGGCAAGGTTTTGAGGAGCTGTTTTATTCTGAATAGTTACAATTTGCAAATTAAGATATCACTATAAAGTCCAATTATTAAAAAAAAAAAAATCGGCGGTTAAGTGCTCGGCTGCTAACCAATAGGTCAGTAGTTCAAATCCACCAGCCGCTCCTTGGAAACCCTATGGGACAGTTCTTCTCTGTCCTGTAGGGTCGCTATGAGTCCGAACCGACTTGATGGCAATGGGTTTGGTTTGATTTTGTTTGTTTGTTTAGGATAGATTGAAGTCTAAGTATTGTTGTTTTTATACTCACTATTTTTTGACACATTTGCAAAGCAGGAGGAAAAACTATTTTTAGTTAAATAAATCTTTTCGACTATATCCATACGCGTATTTCATCTACTATCTGAACATGAAAACATGCTACAATCCTGTGTTATCTCTTGAAGAACCGTTGTAATTTAATGTTTGTGTTTGTATGTATTTAAAAGCACTAGTCAGTATAATATAATAAAATTTGCTTTTATTTTACAGGTAGAAAGGATGAATGCTTGATTTGTAAAGTTCCTTGTCATACAGTTTTACTTTCAAAACATGTAAGTTGAAATATGTAGTCTACTAATCACAGTAGTATTTCCTTTCAAATTTGAAATTTAATTTTAGTCATCTGTAGTGTCTAAAATTTTCATTCATTTTGGTAGATTAACTAGAAGATTTTATAAGATTATAAATCAAAGTACAATTAATGCTTGCTTTTCTAAAACCTCAGTACTACTTTGTTTTTTAGCCCTAGATTATCCTTATTCACAGTTTGTTGGGTTGTTCTATGTTCCTGGAACTGAAAATGAGAAATAGATTTCTGCAGTACAATACATGCCCTTAAGAGGGCAATAAAAACCCAAAACCAAACCCATTGCTGTCGAGTCGATTCCGACTCATAGTGACCCTATAGGACACAGTAGAACTGTCCCATAGGGCTTCCAAGGCTATAAATCTTTATGGAAGCAGACTGCCACATCTTTTTCCTGCAGAGCAGCTGGTGGGCTCGAACCACCGACCTTTCATTAGCAGCCAAGTGCTTAACCAGTGCACCACGAGGGCTCCTCTAAGAAGGCAGTAGGGCCTGGTTTTTTCAAAGGGGTC